GCAGATTCTTGAAACCCGGCGTGAACGGTAGCCTCATCTTTGAGGGCCCGGAGAAAGTTCTACAAAAGCGCAGCACCGGGGGAAAGCAGCGCAGCTCGCATCGAAAGCAGACTCCGTAACGGCGTCTGCTTTCGATGCTTCCTTCGATGCGTCTTTCGATGCGAGCTGTGCTGCTTTTCCCCCTGTGCTGCGATTTCGTGAAACTTTCACCGGGTCTTCAAAGATCGCGCTACCGCTCACGCTGGGTTTTAAAAACATGTTTCGTCAAACAATTTCAATCAGGCACAAAATATCATCCACCCTATTTTGACGACAGCCTGCCACCACACCTGCCAGAACGCTGTCTGCCATGGATGGATTACAGTGGCTGCAGGAGCTGTACCTTGGCTAGAGGTAATATAACTCTACCTAAAGATGGCCGCCAGTGACCGCGTTCGCAGAGCGGGCAAACGCGATCCAGCAATTGTCATTGAGATCAGTGGCGCCGTATATGCTCGTTCGTTGGCGGCGTTCGTTGCGCCATCTCTTGTCTCCCGTGCGAAACGGCGCCATGTTGTTTGAAGACCGGTGGCGTCGCTGCGTTTCCATAGGAGCTAAGCCTTTTTCTTTCTTTACTTTTGCCTCAAGTAAGTTCGCTCCTTGCAAATTTTACAAAAAAAAAAAAAGCACCATCTGTGGGCAACGCTGCACAAAGTCGTAGCGCGATAGGTTACGAAACCGAATTTTCTGGTCGATTTAAAGAGCCTGCCGTCTCCTTGAATTACCCGGTACATACCTGCCATAGGAAGCGAGCAAGCCGACCGTGTCGCGGCGGTCGCCTATTGTTCGCCGCGACCTAGCGGTAGCCGCCGCAGGAGCATCGGGGAGCAATGGCGATAAAGAGCACGGCGGGCAGTGTCCCCGTCGTGATTACGAAGGAATTTAAGGCAGTTACGAATTCGGAAATTTCCTTCGGTAGCCGGTGCCGTCGGCGCAGAATCATTGGAAAGTAATAGCAACGAACACCACAGAGGACAGTGGGCGATTACGAATCCGGAAAGCTTCTTCGGTAGCCGGTGCAGGATCATCGGGGGGAAGCAATGGCGATGAGCAGCACAGCGGACAGTGTCCCCGGGGTGATTACGACGGGGTTTAAGGCGGTTACGTATCTAGAAAGCTTCTTCCGTGGCACCAATATGAAGAAGGGAAAACTCCTTCGTGAATCTGGCCGCGTGTACGACGTGAAGGAGGTCCGTTTCGACGGACAAGTGGATGTCACGGAGCGCCGTACTCCGCTAACGAAATTAAGCGCGCCCGCAAAAAATGTAGTTGGCGTTGAGTGGACTGTGGTAATTCTGTACGTTTATTTCTGAATCAGCTTGACAATAACTGGGAGATTTTTTTCGCGCCGTTACGCGATTCCCACTGTAGGCTGATGGAAACACACAAAGGTAGGCTTAGGTGGGCGACCGCATTCCGCTTCTCGATTCCGGTGAAGTGTTTGCTGCATACTTTAGAGTTTGCCGTCGGTGTCGATGCTGTTCCATCGTCGCTAGAATAGAAAAAAAGTTAATTGTATTATTTGTCAGCAGCTTAAACAAAGCGCGAACTGGAAGGTAAGAAACGCCACTAGCCTGCATGGACGCACAAGTCGCACCCAGATCGCGCAGTACTCCGCCTCGTACGGCTTCGAAGGGACGATGTAGTACTTCGTGCCGTGCGCTATCTTCGACGTACTGTTGCAGCCGACCACGCAGCAATTGTTGCGGCTTTCTTGGTGCGGAATAGCCATCTCAGAATTTACAGCGCTAACCCACTACAACGCACAACCAACGCAGCGACTGGCAGAAGCTCCCCGATGCAATGGACCCGTTTGCCGCTAGGGGCGCCCTGGTCGGGGCTTGAATTAGATGCGCACGGTTCCTATAGAACAGAGGTTTGGGCCTGAAATATAGCGAAGTTTAGCATCGTTCAGTGGCAAAGGAAAAATGCTGTAACTAAAGCAATTACACTTTCACAATACTAATAAAGGTACATACTACCCGGTACAACCAAAATAACAAAAGTTATTCATGTTATTTTCCGGCGACGTTACAAAATTCACGCACGTTTTCCCATAGGAATACACAGGAAGACTGGAAAAGTAGACTGCATGCTGTCTGCTTCAATTTGCAACTGGAAGTCCCGTAGACACTAGCGCCAGATGAGCCTCTAGCGTTTATTGTAATAACTCTATGCTGCATACAACACGGCGCCGTTTCGCACGGGAGACAAGAGATGGCGCAACGAACGCCGCCAACGAACGAGCATACAGCGCCGAGGGCAGGCCTTTTTAGCTGACGATCTTTGCGACTCAAAAGCTGCGCGCGTTCCGCAGGCGGCGACAGTCGCAGAAACAAAAAGACAGGCGCGGTAACAGCAAGGAAGTGCAGTTCCTTGTCTGCTAAGGTGCGTTTATACTCCAACGTCGGCGAACCTAACGTTCGCCGGCGCAAAACGATGTCCGTCGTCCACTTCGCCACGCTGCGTCACGCTGCGGAAGGAATTGTCAACACCTTTCCAAAAAAACGCTCCTAGGCCGCCGCCATGTTGCTGATGCTGATGCGGCTGGTGCGACTCTCGCGCCCTCTATCAGCTAGAAATTTTCTGCCACTCTCTGGGACTGTGAAGACGCACTCAGCGCGGTTCTCTACCTGCGTTTTTGCGGTTTTGCATTCGACGTTTTCTCGCTCCTCTTGAAAGTTTCCACTTAATTTTTTTATGCGTGCTGCGTACCGTTTCTGTGTTATCTTCCATTGTGAGAAATAAGGCTGGTAAGTGCCTGCCATTCAAGCTTTTCTGCTCGACATTCACGGGAAACGAAGGAGTTGAAGGACGTCGAACGACCCTCGACGCGATTTTGCGAACATTGTTCTCCCCCCTCCCAGAGATAATCCGCGTAGAATCCTCAGTCATCTCCAAAAATAGTTGTCCGGGTTGGGGTGAAAAACGGGTCAGTCGCGTTTGTTTCTTTACCTTGGTGCGGTTGTGAAAAAAGGAAGCTCTCCCCGAAACGTGCCCCAAAACGAATTCATCTCGGATTCCGTCCGATCGTCAAGATGTGACTGTCGTCAACTGTGACTGTGTTATTTGAGATCTTTCTCAAATAAATTCGTTTCGGATAACGCTGCATCGTGTGGTACGTACGATATATTGTTCGAATGTTAACACTTCCTCAATTGTATGTCCGTGTCCTGTCCATCGTTAAACACGTTATTTGTGAGCGTGAAAAATGCATGCCTTTCGGTCCTCTTCTGTTGCAATTTATTTTTGACAGCAAACCGCTTTGTCGTTTCACATGCGGCGAATCCCTCGGCGCCGTCAAAACTTATCGTAAGAAAAAAAAAAATAACTAGAACTATTCATTCCAGTCGCATTCGTTCTGTCGCGCGCTTACCCAAGAAAAATAGTTTACAGGGCTTTTTTTTTTTCTTTTTTCTAATTGTGGCACAATGCTTTCTCAATGTCCTCGGGAAAATACACGTACCATGAAACACAAAATATAGCAGGAAAAAACGAGAATTTAGCTGCCAGCAGCGTTTGAAACTGCGCCTATGCAGGCTACGCTTATTGAAATCACTGTCCACTCGGTTAGGGTTAGGAGGGACGCCGGTGAGAGTCTAGCCTCAGACTCAGTGACTGGGCTCGAAGTCGGTTTGTTGCCCCTGGGGTCGAGTGTTTTTTGGAAAGGTGTATAGACCATTCCATTTAGCGCTCCCTGGCCGGCACCATTTTGTTCGACCGCAGCGCCCTCTCCACACATTCGGGAAGTTCAGCGGGTTCGGCGGGGTAAAACGAGAGAGAGGGCACGCCGCCGACTCCGCTAGCAGACGACAAACCGGGAGGTTGCCGTTCTCCATCTTTGGGCTGTATCGGCGGGCTCTACCGAACACCGAACTCTCGCTCGTGGCTGCCGTTGTGAAGTGGTTCGCGTTCTTATACCCCTGTCAGACGGGCACCTCGAATGTCATTTACGCTAAAGGCCTTTAGGATTTTCAAATGACATTTAAGTCGTGTCGTGTTCAGACGGGAAACTCAAATGTCATTTGGGTGATGTCTATCACGATAGCGGTCTGTTGTTAACCTAAAAATGTAGCGTTTGTATTATTGTTAACCCGGCAAACTAGTGTTTATTTTATTGTTTACTAAGTAAATAAAATGTAATAAACTCTCAGAACATAGAATGCAAACACGGAGATGAAACGAAGTAGACGTTTTGACGGAGACAAGGTATTCTGTGGCAACTATGACACGACGTCAGCAATCCCAATTAATCCGTAGCCGTATCCGTTCCGCCGCTTGGTTCGTCTGCTTTCGGAACTCCGCGCATCTTGCTCGCCGTTGTTCCTCGCGCACTTTCGTTCTTCGCCGGATTCGTATACCCCGTTTACGTTTACGTCTGCGATCGATCAAGCGAAGACCGTGACGCTGTAGCGATGGAGCCTGCTGACGACAGTGATCGTAGTGCGATGGATCCGGAGCGTCGGATTGCTTTTCTGGCGTGTTTGTACGCACAACAACAGAATGCCTTGACGCTGCTGAGGGCCGACATACGATCTGCCAGTGCAGAAAGCGTCCGCCTTCAAGAAAGGCTCCTTTCCAACGACCTGATGTTCGCTGCCGTTGAAGCGTCAAGTATCATCCCACGAAGCATCCAAGCGTTCAGGAGGAACGAACGCTGGTTTGAGGACACTCTACCGCACTTGCCGGAGCACTTCTTCAAGCAGTCCTTCCGCGTCAAGCCGGTTACGTTTAGGTACCTGGTAGACGTGTGTCGGCCTCACATGGAGCGCGAAGTTACCAACATGCGTTCCACCATTCCGGTGGAAAAGAGAGTTGGTGCCGCGCTGTACAAGTTGTGCTCGAGCGCAGAAGACCGCACCATCGCCAACTTGTTCGGCCTGGGACGGTCCACCGTCAACGAGAACTACAGGGAGTTCTGTAGGGTAGTTGTCTCCGTCCTCGAGCAGGACTGGCTCAAGATGGTGAGCGCCGCCGAGCTTCCGGACCACATCCGGGAGTTCCAAGCTGCTCTGGAGTTTCCACAGGGCATAGGGGCGCTGGATGGCTGCCACTTCCCCATCTCACCACCGAAGGTCAACGCGAGCGACTACCACAACTACAAGGGCTGGTAGGTAACCTTTACTTCAAGGATAATGTGTATGATCATCTATGGACTGCTAGAACCAATACCATATACGTTGAACTTCCTGGCCCTTTAAGAAGTCGGGCATCTGTTTTCAAACCGATATTGCAACAAAAAAAGGGAAAAAAAACAATTTCTCTAATAAATATTGACTGTGAATTCCTCTCAGTAAGCAAATTCAATGAAGCTGGCCAAACTGAATGATGCAAACTCGTTGCTGCCTGCTAGCAAGTGTTCTAAAATGAGTCTGATGCATCGAAACAAAGAGGGGCACGCCAAGCAAAGAGCAACGAAGAGAACGCATAGAAAATTTGCGATGATGAGGCAGCCAACTCGTGCCGTTTTTGGTCGAGGGGAAACAAACCCGTGTGGGCACATTTGGGGGGAAAACAAATGCACGAGGTGCGGAAAACAAATGCACAAGGTGCGCAAAAAGCAGACAAACTTGCACGGCAAATGGTTTCAAAGGTTTCGATTTGAATAAAATGTACCTGGACCAAACATTTTTCCCTATAAATTTTAATATGGTGATATATCATATAAGCCACACGTGTTTGATGACATGGAGGTTATGAAATAGCTATTCTTGAATATGAGGTGCCAGCAACTGATAGCCAGCTTTTTACACTTAATGTGATGTTTAGAAGCTATGTACACCTCTGTTCTGCGGAGTTTTAACGAATTGTGCTGTGCTGTCTACTTCCCTTTTGAATCTCCAGTTTTGAGGACTGTATGGCTACAGCATTCAACACCCATGGAACTGATATATGCCTTGTAATGTTTGTATCCAGGTATAGCATCATCCTGCTGGCCCTCGTAGACCACCGTTACCGGTTCCGGTATGTGAACGTCGGGACACCAGGGCGGTGCCACGACGCACATGTGTACCGGAGGTCGGCTTTGGCGGCTGTTCTACAAGAACCAACGCTGCAGATGCCCATGGTCACCGTCAACGGGACCACCGTGCCGCCCCTGATCCTGTGTGACCAGGCATTCCCTTTGACGTCCAACATGCTCAAGCCGTACCCTCGCAAGGACGTTAAGAAGGACTCTCCACAGGAAGGCTTCAACCGACATCTGTCATCTGCTCGCCGAGTCGTGGAGAACGCCTTCGGAAGGGTCAAGGCCCGATTCCGCTTCATCATGAAGAGGATGGAGTGCGAGGTGGACAATGCCCGGCTTGTTGTGCGAGCCTGCTGCATTTTAAACAATGTGTGCGAGCATTTCAATGACGGTGTCGAGCCCCAGTGGCTCAGCGACGTGGCGACGGAGGATAGGATCTATCTGCAACCGGTGTGCACCACAGATGCTGAGGCAGACAATGGGCAGAGCGCCAGGGACGCTATTGCGGGCTATCTACACCAACGCTCGAGGCAAATGGTCTAGGACTCTAGATGAAGAGCTCAAGTGGCTGCTCCTGTTTGCAGCACAGACCTTGACATCTACGAGGGCCCTTTCCAGTGCGTGAAGAACAAAAGGCCCTTTTTAGGGCCAAACAAATCTGGCTTTGGAGCATAAGACGTGCTGCCAACTCCCGTGTCCCAAGTGAAGTCTCATGTTTCAGTCCATATGCTTCGCCTTCTGTATGCTTTCATGTGGCTTTTATAACACAATTTTAAGAAATTTTAAGGCATTGACTGCCCAAATATAAGTTCAAGCACCTCTCATAGCTACTATGTGCAATGAAACAAAGCTTATAAAACAAAAGATCATCTGAAAGGGTCACTGCTGGAGTACAAGAAATACCATACCAGCACCTGTTTGGGGGATTCCTTCAACTGTTGCTTTCCACGAGAGTTGCAAGGAAAAAAAGTATGGGTGTGCACATAGTAGAATTTCAGCTTGAATGAAATCGAATATTCCCAAATAGTTGGCAAAAAGTCCAATGTATAATCAAATATCGAATACCAAGAATTCTATTTGGGGGCTCCACATGCCAAACCAATCAATGGCATCTGGTACAACTTAAGGAAAAACTGGGGATTAGTGTGGGTCACCTAGGGACCTTGAGGTACAACCGAAATCTTGGTTACACAGCGCCCTCTCCGCAATAAGCCTCCGTCAGATTGCAGACACCACGGACAGGATTATATCCCGCCAACTGGGGATACGTAGGCAAACATTCTGCTCGGGAGCCACCGAGCTACTCTTGAATGTAGCATAAATGCACACCGGGACAGCTTACATTGCAGTTTATGAGGCATTTTTATTCATGAAAGCCATCAATGAAGTCGCGAGCTCTTGCTGCACCTTGATGGCGGTTTCTTGCAGGACTATTTCCCGCTCGCGTAGGGCGAACTCTCTTGCCCTCGATGCCTCAAAACTCTGCCTGAGCAGCCTCTGCTCATCAATCACCGTTTTAATATATGCGGTGCTTGGAGCTTGCGGCCTCTTCCTTTTCTGTGGCCTGGGCGGCACGTTACTCGTGCCATTGACGCTGCTGGGCCCCGGCCTGCTGACACTTGTAGTGGCGGGGGTGCTGGTGACTTGGCTTTCCTCGCCACGCAGCTCCTCTCCCGGTTCCTCGACGGGCTCCTCGAAGTAGTCTACTTCGACCACGCCTCCCTCTTGCATGTCGGAGAGCAACTGAGAGGAGTACCACACAAGTAGTTTTCTTGTTAAGCTACAAGAGACTGCAGCAAGCTGTTAGGTGCCACCCAAAGCCATTATACAATTGGTACTCAAATGTAACGGAGCTCCAACCCTGTGTATGAATGCTTTGTAGTTGAGAATCATAATGCTAGGTATTGCTACCATAGTTATGTGTCAAGAGTATAGCCATAGTCTGGCAGAACCTTGAATTTTTAAAGCAGCCACAATGCTCCACTTCAGCTGAAGCTCTTGCATCAAGCTTTACCGCACTGCACCGTCACACGCATGCAAAGTTTCATCGCTTTGCAACGGCTTGTCGAAAAAGCAGCCAAAGCAGAGGAGCACCTCGATTAGCTCGGTGAACTCTGCTCGGTGGGCAATTTTCAAAATAATTTCATGCATTTGCCACTGGCTGCCACTTGTACATTGAAATGATTTGTTATTAAAAAATGCGGAAACTTTTTTGAGAGAAACCACAAAACCCACCTCCACTACTGCTGGTGTAGCATGGTTAGAAGCTAGGCTTTCATCCACGAGGGTCGTGTCGTTCAGCGGTAGGGACCCCAACAGTCGGTTGAGGTCCCAGAAGAAGGGCCACTTCATGGCACCGGAACCCGTGGTGGTCCCTTCCCTCAGGTGTTTTCTGAAAAATGGAATCGCAGTAAATGGCAACTTTATGGCAAAGCTATTGATGTATGTATAATGGGATTTTTTAACTGGGATATTTAAATCATGATATAAATCATGATCTAAACCACGATTTAAGTAATCTTAATTTTTATTTTCCGTACTGACTCGTACTACTCTCAGGGTGCATGAAACTTTACAATTATCTTACCGGTACGTGTTGGTCAAATTTTCTATCTTGGTGTGGACCTGGCCCTTCGTCCTCACGATGCCGCTACGAAGCAGCTCCTCCGCAATCTCTTCGTACACGCCTCCGTTACGCTTGGCGCGTCGAAGGTCCTCCATTCTGCCCTCCCAGAGCCGGATCAACGTCCAGGTCTCCTGGGAAGTCCACACTACGCGCGGTTCCCTCTTCTTCGCGGCCGAAGGTCCCGCTGGTCCCGCTCCGTTCGACATGGTGTCACTTCGCGCGCGTTCTTAAAACGACTTAAAACAATAAAATATATATGTACAACAAAAATATTATTTATATACAACACAAGAATAAAAGACTATAAAACGATGATAAAATATAAACAAAAGAAATAGAAGATGAGACAGATAAATGGCAAAAGGAATGGGAAAGCTAAACAACCGAGGTAAGCGAGCGAGCAGACGAGCGAGCAGACAACGGCTGGTACTGGGCAACTGAGACCGCGAGTATATTAAACGAATATATCGCAAAAGGTGTGCGAGATATACAGGTTATAAGCATTTTTTTCTAAAAATAATTGCTACAAGCACTGTTTTCAATTGTATTTATATTATTTATAATGTTTTATTTCAATTCGCGGAACTTGCGCTGACCGCTGTTGACGAGACTACACATTTACGAGCCGTAAATGAGTTTGGGCGAACTCAGTTGAGCTCGAATGTCATTTAAGTCGAATGTCATTTAAGTTCCCGTGTGACACTGCCTAAATGACATTTACGCTGAATGTCATTTGGGGTAAATGTCATTTGAAGTGCCCGTCTGACAGGGGTATTAGGATAGTTGTGGCTACTCCAAAATCAGCCTATAGCTCTCTGTTGTTCTATTTTGCTAAATGATAAACTAGCATATCTTTTTTCCGTTACTTAAATAGCAGTTGAGTCAGCCGGCAGTACTACCCTCAACTACTGCGTGTATTGCGGCAGGAGAGCACGTTTTTATTTATTATTTCAGACTTCCACTCATGGTCGCTAAAGGCCTACACCAGTACGAACTTTTGTATAGTAAAAAAGGTACAGCAACCGGATTTTCTTTTCGCCAAAGAGACCGGCCAATCTGACACAGTTTTCCTTATTTTTGTTTTTTATTTGCACGCAGGTAACAGTGCAATTGGACCCTGCGAGTCTTTTTATCTAGCATAGTATTACACGATAACTGGAATACCAAAATCTGCGCATCTCCGCTTGGAAGTTCCAAAATGACGCGATTTTAAACAGAGTTTGCACGCCAGCCGGACGCTAGCTACAGCCCATTCGGCGGAGTGGACGGCTTGCGGGGGAGAGGGGGAATGCATTTTTTTTTCTCTTTTACCCTCTCTGCTATGACCCTAATGGAACGGTCTCTGGCCGCCGCCATTCTGCGAATCGAGCGACCCCTATCAGCCAGAATTTTCTGGCACCCGCCTGAGCTGTGGAAACCTGGTCAGCGTGGCTCCCCACCTGCATTTTGCATTCGGAGTTCGGCGGCATTTCTTGGAAGTTTTTATTTTATTCGCCTGTTTAGGATGCTTACCCTTTGTATGTTATCTTCCGCTGTGAGAACCAGGGAATACCAGGGCTCGTAGCCCGCTCGGCCTTCGCAGGAAACGAACGAAGAGAGCGAACGTCAAGCAGCCCGCGACGCAGGCAGTTCGACGTGCTTGGAGGATTATTGGGTGGCGATGCCACGTGGTTATCGCCACCCATCGCCACCGTGGCATCGCCAAGATGACAGTCGTTAACACCTTCGTGTTCATTGCACAGGTACTGCTGCTTCTGCCGCCGCACTGGGCCGGTGACGCCGTCAAAAGCTGTCCGGCGGCGATTCATCGAGCTGAGCGCATCATCACGGCTGATAACAAGAAAGCAGCGACTCATACAGACCGAAATTTTCTTCGGTGGACCTTCAACAAAAACCTGGAATTCTCAAGATTCACATCGCCATCGACATCGGCTACCTCAGCGCCAGCGCTGCCAAGTATGAAAGACCACCCCCGATCTGCACTCCACTGTGGGCACGGTGGCATCGCCAAGATGACAGTCGTTAACACCTTCGTGTTCATTGCACAGGTAGGAAAACGCTATCCTTTCTGTTACCGTAGCAACAACCTTTGTCTTTTTTTGCTGCCGTGCCCACGGACCTGTTTTGCCTTGTAGTGTAAAATGCGTGCACGATTTGCTGATTTGCTCATGCTGTGCGGAGATATAGAGACAAATCCCGGTCCTGACAGGGCAGCGATGATGGAAATGTTAACTAATATCTCGGTCGACATTAAGGAAATTAAGCTGAGCCAGGCTGCGACAACATCGAGACTAGAGAAAATAGAATCGCGCCTCGAAGGCCTTGAAGAACTCAGGTCCGTTGTGAACAAAAACTGCGACAAGACCAACCGCCTCGAAGCCACCATCACATCACTCTCGAACAAAATTGATGATTTAGAGAACCGTAGCAGAAGAAACAATCTAATTATTTTTGGTCTTTCTGAACTACCTGACGAAGAGAGTAGCACCCTCGAGAATAGAGTAACTAAAGAGATTCTTGGTGGAAAACTAAATGTAAAGATTAATGGAATCGATCGTATACATCGCCTTGGGAGGCCAGCTCATGGCAAAACCCGTCCAGTAATATTTCGACTCGTAAACTTTAAAGATAAATTGAATATTTTACGCAACTGCAATAAATTGAAAAATGAACGACTCTCGATTAGTGAAGACTACTCAAAGCGAATTCAGGGCATTAGAAAAAAATTACTTGATAGCTCGAAATCAAATAAACTTGCTGGTGATAAGGTCACGCTTACCTATGACAAAATTAAGATAAATGGCACAGTATACATTTGGAATGAGGCCATAAACGATAAGGTTCCCATATCTGAGGAAACCCGGAATCCCAGTACGTGACCAAGCCCTACTCAAGTCAACCGTGTATATGAATTTCGATTACTAAACCTAAACGCGCGAAGCATCGTAAATAAAACTGATAAACTTGAAGCTGCTGTTTTGAATACCCAACCTGATATTATAGCAATGACAGAAACTTGGCTATCAGACAGCATTCTTGACTGTGAAATCACGCCCCCAAACTATACGATTTTGCGCAAGGATAGAGGTTCTCGCGGTGGTGGAGTAGCGATTCTTGTAAAAAATGGCATTGTATGTACCCCCTTACCCGATTGCCCAGAAATTGAGCGCCTGTGTTGTAAAATTGCTTATAAAAATACGTGCTGCTATATACTTGTTCTCTATAGACCTCCCACTTCCACTTCAGGGTTTTTCAAAAGTATGTATAGTTATATCAATTATAATATTAATGTCAGCAGTAAGATTATAATTGCAGGTGACTTCAATCTACCTTCCTTAGAATGGTCCTCTCTATCGAAATGTACAGAATCATCTCTCGGCGCAGATATCCTTACAGATCTATGTTTTCATTATAACCTCACCCAAATAGTTACTGAAAATACCCGTATTCAGGGAACGTCGCAATCAATGCTCGATCTCGTCTTTGTCACCTATCATTTCCTGAAAGATGAACACAGCGTAGAAGTTTTAAATGGTATATCTGATCATGAGATGGTTTTGTGCTGCTTCAAAACGAACACCCAACTTCTGGCAATCCCCAGACTTGTAAGGTTCTGCACTTTGACAGAGCAGATGAAGTTGGCGTGCTCGACTTCTTTGATACACACTTCGATAACTTTCTTCTACTGTCCAAGAGCGACCGTAACACTGTAGATATGCTTTGGAACGAATTCAAAACGGCAGTTAACACGTGTGTCTCATGTTTTATTCCACAACGAACTGAACGAATTAAGAAAAGCCCTTGGATAACGCGAGAAATCATCCATGTAAAGCGCAAAATAAATAGGCTTCGTAAGAAGGTAAAGAAAACCAGAACTCTTCTAAATAAGAACAAAATGGCATTACTCAACAGCGATCTTGGACAAAAAATCAAGTCGGCTAAATACAATTTTTCAATATCACTCTCCAATCGTTTATTCAATCTTCACCCGTCAAATTCTGGAACTATGTCAACCCAAAAACAAATCGAGTCTAGAAACGCTCTTCGGTGACAAAGCAAATCTTGCAAAAGCCTTCAATGATTATTTTCTTTCGGTCTTTACAACAGATAATGGTAATGCACCCTCATTCGCGTCCAATTCTCCAGTCTTGGCTGTAAATGATGTTGTAATTACCGAACAGGGTATCTTATCTCTTCTACTCAACCTGAACACAAAAAAAAGTTCTGGGCCGGACGATATACCAAATGAGTTTCTAAAAAGATACGCCGAATGGGTAACAAAATATCTTGTTATAATATTTACACAATCACTTAACAAAGGGCAACTTCCTGAAGACTGGAAGTTAGCGAAAGTCATCCCCATTCATAAGTCTGGAAACAAAAACGAATTTGCGAACTACAGGCCCATCTCCCTTACCTCAACTTGCTGTAAATTGCTCGAACACATTGTTCTGAACCATGTCTCCACCCACATCGAGAATAATCAAATACTTACTCCATATCAGCACGGTTTCAGACGTCACCTTTCAACAGTGACGCAACTCGTTGAAAGCATTCACGATTTTTCCACTGTCATAAACAATAGAGGACAGGTTGACGCCATATTCATTGATCTGTCAAAAGCCTTCGACAAGGTATCTCACCCAAAGCTATTGTTTAAGCTAGAATCTATACTAGGAGCAGGAAAAATTCTCAGGTGGATTGAAGACTACCTTTCAGATCGCTACCAGTACGTAGCACTTAACGCGCACTCATCATTCAAAGTCAAAGTTTCATCGGGAGTCCCACAGGGATCAGTACTGGCACCTTTTTTGTTTCTAATATACATAAATGACCTGGTCAAAGATGTGAACGTAAAAATTCGCCTCTTTGCTGATGATTGCATACTTTACTCACAAATAAATAACCCAAATGACCAGATTAACCTAAATAATGCGCTTCAACACATCATAAATTGGTGCCGCGACTGGCAGATGGAAATAAATTCGAATAAAACTGTATTTATGACCATAACCAATAAAAGACAACACTACTCCTTTCCTTACCAGATAGGCAATAACCTCTTGGAACAAGTCGGTGAATACAAATACCTCGGCCTCAATATAAGTCAAAATTTACGTTGGGACTCACACATTCACTCCACAACTAATAAAGCTCTAAACAAACTGAGTTTCCTTAAACGAGTCTTAAAATTTGCATCTCCTGCCACTAAATTACTAGCCTACAAAACTTTAATACGTCCTATGCTCGAGTACGCCAACGTCGTCTGGTTTCCCCACACAGTCTCCGGCATCAATAAGAGAGAAAGAGTTCAGAGAATGGCCGCGAGGTTTATTTGCAATAAGTATAGTAGGCACGTCTCTCCCTCTGAACTTTGCAGGCAACTGGGTCTCTCCTCTTTAGAAAAAAGAGCAAAAACAGCTAGACTTAAATTTCTATACGAATTAGCCAACGATCATTTCAACCTACCAAAAGAAAATTATCTTATCCATACAAGCAAACGATTAACACGGTACAACCATGGCAAGCTTTACGAGGAAGACGTCGCTCATAATAACTGCTTTAAATTCTCTTTTTTTCCCCGAACCATTAACGAATGGAACCACCTGCCTCAAAACGTTGTTCATTCCTCTTCTATTGAAATCTTCCTCGATTACGTAGATGCCCACTTTTCATCATAAACTAATATTTTATGCTGTTTTTAAAAGTGCAGTGTATCTATTGTATTGAAGTTGTTTACTAATTTTTCATTCGCGACTTCTATATTTGCTTTGAATATTTACCTGCAAATTGTGTGTTGAATATTATTTTTCTGCTTGTAATATCTCAAACTGTACCACCCTACAACAACCCCGAATGGGGTTTGTAGTATTGGAAATAAATAAATAAAAAATTTCCGTCGAGATAATCTCCGAAAAGCCTTCTCGGTTATGTTCCGGGTCTTCGCAAAAACTAGCTGATAGGGTCGGGTCCGGGGTGTGGCGGCGGAATAAGCACGTTCGTTCATTTGCTTTGAAGCTGTGCAAAAAAGGAGCTCTCTTTTACATGTTCCCCAAAAACACGCCAGATTCTGTCCGATCGTCGTGAAGTGACTATCGTCGACACTGTATATTGGATATGCTGTGTTAATTGAGACCTTTCCCAAATCCTGTTCGGATAACGCGGCACCGTGGGGTACGTACAATATATGTTTTGTTCGATTGATGAGACTCATTGAATTCTATATTGGGGGGGGGGGGGGGGATATCCATGCAGTACGGATATCCTGTGTGGTCAAATATTTTGACCTTTATAGATTGACACGGCTGAGTGTACGGTGCCGTAAAACAATGAACATAAAATGAAACAAACATTCCAGTTGCATTTGTTTTGTCGCGCACGGACTCACCGAAACAGCTTTCATTTCTTTGTTTTGGTTCCCAAAAATAAAGCACTGCTTTCTTAAAGAACTGTATAAATTATGTTCACCACAGAACACAAGATAAAAAAAGAAAACGCAGCAATTCAGCCGCCACCAGCGTCCGCAATTGCGCCTACGCAGGCTGCCACAGCCTACTGACGAGAAACTCCACAGCTCAGCGCAGTCGGGCAACACTGACGTAGACTCTCAAAACCAGGGACACGCGCTGTAAATCACTTCGTTCGAGACTGCCGCTGGAAAGGTCTATAGTCCGGCGCAGTCTAGCGAGCCTCGGCGCGCTCGTCCTTGCTACGCATGCGCGTCGTCATGGCAACCAGGGCAATCGCGTTGCCATTTCCGGTTCCTCGGTTTGTCGCCGTTCGAAGCGAGCCCGCGAGCGCGCGAGCCCTTGTTCCTCTTGTTTGGATCTGCTGTCAACATGAACGTAGACGCTCAAACAAAGAAAAAAATAGCAGCTGTGCTCCTGTGGCGCCGAATACAGCGCCGGAGGAGGCGTACAATGTATGTGCGCGACATCTTCAACAAGCGAAAAGTGCTCGGCGAGTTCTACCACCTTGTACAAGAGCTCCGAGAATCCGACCCCGAGTACCACTTTCAATACTTCAGGTAAGGCGACAAGGCACTTCATGCTTATCGCAGAGAATAAACGAACGATTTCCAATTCATATCTCTTCCGGTTTTGTTTTGTAGGATGACCAAGTCTTCGTTTGATGATCTGCTCGGGCTCGTGTACGATCGGCTTGTCCACGCGCCCACACATCGTTCTCCGATCTCTCCCGCTGAGCGTCTGGCCATCACGCTCAGGTATGGAATTAATCTTGTTATTGGAACATTTCGAAGACGGCGTTTTAACAATCAGTATATTACGTATTGCGTGTGCAGGTCCGATGAAGTGCTGTTCAAAATGGTGTTTCAAAATATAACTTCAACACTAAAATCGCCGTAAAAAAAAATCAGTACCTCGACGTATTACGTCGAAACTTACATTGAATACGTCTTTTACTGGCCAGATTGACCCTTTAAAACGTTAAATCTCAACGCCAAGTAAAACCGACAGGTGTTTGCTAGCATGTCAGGTGCAGGCCTAACTAAGTAGGCATGCATCTATTTGTATAATCAAATGTGAAGAATAGAAAATATGTACCCCTTTCCGTGTGAAGTCCTTTCCGTCTAAAACCCTTTCCACCTGGAGAAAAAAAATAGGATGGACACACACTTCAGGCGGAATGGGGTACGCATTTTTATTCTTCAAATTTGATAATTTAAATAGATTCATGCATGCTTAGTTAGGCTTGAATTTTACATGCTAGCACGCAACTGTCGGTTTTCAACACGCAGCTATGAAAACGTCTGCTAAACATTTTCTTTAGACACTCGCAACCCCAAAATGTACAGCGGGCAGATTAGTATAGCGTCCAGTCTGGGTCCATGGCCAGTCATGGACACGTCACTGCTAAGATATAAGAGTTACAGTTACGGAAAAAAGTAACTCTGCTACAGTTACAGTTACCAAATTTAAAAAGTAACTTGTTACAGTTACAGTGACTTCGCTAAAGTAACGCGGTTACTTTGTCGTTATATTGCAAAAAATATTAAAAAAAAAAACATTCAAAAGGAATTTTCCTTTATATGCATTTCATTTAACATAGATTTTTCGTAAGGCATTGTGTTGTTAATGGTAGTGAATCAGATATTTTTTTTTTTTAGAAACTAAGATTTTTCTAGTAACCGATATTAACATGTTTGATACTTCTTAATTCAATTTTTAACATGAATTCAGTCATGGTGCGAGTTTATGCAATTGGTTAATTGTAATTTCAAATTTTTTGTTGAGGCGAAATGGGACGAAAGCAATAAGCATCGTGTATATGTCAAGTCAATAATAATATAAGTCATACCTTGCAATCAGCTTTGTAGATGTGCCACTCTAATCCACTCGTCAATCGAATCCTTTTCTCTGCGTGCGCACAATCTTTCATGAAACACGAAGCTTCTCTTAAACATTTGGAGAGCGATGTAGCGGCCACATTCAAACCCGCTGAACGCAGCAGCGGTGCAAAATAAGCACTGATCGAGGTACAAACGGCCACTGCGTGTGGAATTCAGAACGGTTGTTGCGATCTTTTCTCCGCCATTTCCTAACCAGATCGGACACGTTTGCGCCCCTTTAGCTTACCACCCTAACTAGAAGAGACCACCCGCAAAGCCCACGACTTGAATATCCACGAATCAAGTGATGACAAGTGCCTCTGGTCCCGGCTAAGGGTGGTCTTTCAATTTCAAGAAAACACACAAACTAGCAGAACGACACATTCGGACACAGACGGTTCGAGCAAATACTCTTTCTCATGTGACCGGACCCCAGAAGCAAAGCAATGGGGTACAACAAGTGGGCAACGGGAGGCGAGGCCGGTAATTAGGCTGCAAACGAAGGGGAGGGCCCAAAGTCGAGACCCTGCCAGAGTGCATCTGTGAGCTAGACGATTCAAATTATAGGGGAAGGACCCGTATGCATCGCGGCAAAAGACGAGGTTCAGAAAATCGGTTGTCCCGTAAGCCTGCGGGGGTTTGGGGCGACAATCACAAAAAACTCTTCCGCGAAAAGCATTTGCTTCCTCCGCCGGACGAAGAAATGCGAAACACTTTAGGGATACCGCGTTTTGTTCCATCTGCATGCGCTGTGGGCGATGCATTTTACACGGCGGCTACGGACACAAGCCTCCCCATCATCCCAGTTGGCGAAGCAGGGTCACCCCAACGTTTACTATCTTTTTCTTTTTATTTGTTTTTCTTTCGAGCTTCAGTCGGTTTCTGCAGCAGCTTTTGCTGTGCGCTTCCCATGTCAGGACTTTGGACTCTCTCATGAGTTGCGAGACGATTTTGCGGTCATGTTTGTAATATTTTTTGCAGATAAATCTGAGAAGTAACGTAACGACGTTACTCTTTACAGTTACTTTAGAAAAATAGTAATCCTGTTACAGTTACAAGTTACTGAAAAAAGTAACTAGTTACCGGTAACGTGTTACTAGTAACTACTTACTGCCCAAGACTCCATGGAGCTTGCAAAATAGTACCGGATCAACGACAGTGTTCATGGAATACTGGCGGCAACATAAAAACTCACATTTTAAACCACTCAGCTTGCAGTCGTCTCGGATGCCCACCCTGCAGATTCTCCTATAATAAACACATCCCTCTTGCAGCTCAATTTTCACAGTCTTGTTTGGGGTTCTCCAATCCTCTTATTTCCTAGGTCGCTTGAACAAAAATATTGAACCACCGGTATACATCGGTTTTAACCGATTTTGTATTTACGTCAGCGGCGGATGTTTTTTTAGTTGAAACTGGAAAGTCGACGCCGTCCCTATGGTTTGCCATGGTATCTTTATTTCTAAGGTTTCCAGCAAATGTAAATTGGTACCAAAGTGTGCCTTAATTCATTCTTGGCTTCTCTCGGTAATGAAGTCAAGGCATTTTATTCTTGAGAGAAAAAATGTGATGTTAATGAGATGCATTGATTTGTTCTTGATAGCAATGTGTCGGCCATTCATGACCATTATGGTTTCCTAAACTTTATTCTTGTCACATTTTCAGGTTCCTTGCATCACCTGGCACCCTGGGCTCTGTAGCGATAAGCTATCGTATGCAGAAGTCCACACTTTATGGCATACTTAAAGAGACGTTGCCTGCCATATGGGAATGCCTCTCGCCAGTGGTGCTAAAAGCACCTACACCGAAGCAGTGGGAAGCGATCCGGCAGGAATTTGAGCAAAAATGGAATTTTCCTAATGCAATTGGTTCCATTGACGGCAAACACTTCGCCACCAGATGCCCGCCCCATTCCGGTTCCTTGTTTAACAACTATAAGAAATTCTACAGCCTAATCCTACTGGCTGTAGTTGATGCCCGCTACCGGTTCACGCTGGTGGACATAGGTGCAGCTGGCCACCAGTCTGATGGTGGAGTGTTGAAGGAGTCGAACATTGGAAAAGCCCTAACTGCAAACACTCTCGGCATCCCAGCTGTTCAGCGGCCTGCACCACCCCTGTGCCTCTTGGGGGATGAGGCCTTCCCACTGAAGACTTATATTATGCGCCCTTTCCCTGGGAGAGGCTTAGACAGGAGAAAGAAGGTGAATAACTAGAGGCTTTCTCGGGGTAGGCGCACTGTAGAAAATGCCTTCGGGATTCTCGTCGCCCGGTGGCGTACGTTCCTGGCCCCCATGGAAGGCAAGCTAGAACATTGTGAAAATATGATCAAGGCAGGGGTTTGCCTCCAGAACTTTTTAATGCAAGACGACGCCTATTGCCCTTCCGGCTATGTAGACAGTGAGAGCAGGGGCGTCCGAGTGGACGGCGCGTGGCGAACCGAGGTGGCAGCCGTTGGAGCCAACCGTAGCCTGGGTGGCAACAGCAGCCCTACTGCTCTGGATATAAGGGAACAGCTGGCCGATTACTTTATCTCTCGCAATGGTTCCCTTCGATGGCAAGATAATGTTGTGTCTACAGAGTGATTTTGGTTCTCTGCAAAAGTTTTTGTTCATGTGCCTAGTTTGGCTTATATTTTTGTTTTCTCTAGATTTTCCATTTGTGCCTTGGATGTGTTGAAGTCGTAGTGCATTGCGCTCAATTAAGTGGTCAAAGGCACAGTTTCTGACCTATTTCGTGATTCAAAAATGTTATTAGAGCTATGTATTATGGGCTTCCTATAAATCTTAGGCATCAGAGGTTGAATGGGGGTATGCGTGTATATATAAAAAAAAACATTTTTTTTTGCGGGGCTTTTATTCTGTGTTGACTATCTTATTTTTTAAGGCCCAAAATATACAATGGGACCATGAACTTTTAGCACGATTAAGGATATGTTTAAAATGGTCTGCTCTATTTTGTGTTTCTTGGGGTTTTAATATTTTCTGCTTATCTCATTCTTTATTTCGTATTCCTATCCAACTTGTTCGACCTTGTATACTATTTGGGCCGTGTTCTGTTTGAGGACTCGTGCAATAAAGTACGTACATACTATGTTACTTTTCAAACCCACTTTTTCCACTTTGTGATAATGCCTTGGTGCTTATTACTGGGAAGGTATGGAATGGTGCATCCATATGGCACAACCTTAGATAGTACACACGAGAATGTAAAAATGCAGGTAAGCTTGTGTACGATACCCTATAATGAGCCAAACAAAGTATGCCCAGTGTGGAAAGGTCATCTACGGCATTCCATACACATGCAGACGTTTCTACATCAGGCAAACAGGCCTGCATCAATGAAGCAGAATAAGAGAATAAAAGCTAGTGGTAGGTGTCTTTCATTAAAATATTAAGTTGTCTATCGGTTGGTTTACTTTCTTCCATCTCTCTTTTTATATTTGGCTGGTAAACCCAGAAACGTTTACAAAAAAGTTGCGTGCAGATTGCAAGATGGGGGTTCAGTGATTTGGTTTACGATATTTCGAAGTAGCATAACTTCCAAAAATATACCTTTGCCGAGCATAGTTTTCTACTCACACCTTTGTGCAGGCACTTTTTTGCATTAACACGAAGATTACTCCAGACTGCTTTAAAAAGATTGTTTTCCTCCAACAATGCAGCTTTCTAAACTAATGGGGCAGAATCGTATGGAAAGAATGGTACTCAAAATATTTAGTCTATACACTAGGTCTCATCAATTCGCCTGAGCTGGTTTAAGTAGTTCACGCTGTGCAGGAACTGGCGCATACGATTAAATAAAATTTTGCAAGGCCGCTCCACTGATAGGTTCGAATAATTCCAGAGCTGCAGAAGTTCAGCACCAGTTTCGCAAAATTTTGCACCTTCTCCGGTCAATTCAGCGTCAAGGCAGTTGCAGATGACTTTCTTTGTCAACATGTATGCTCGAACAGACCTATTGACACACACCTCAAATGTCGTACCAGGGTGGTGGCGCTGGCTACGAAACGAAAACATGTGCAAGTGCTTTGCTCTTCGAAACATGCGCGCTTGTTCATAAACAATCAGTGTGTGTCTGTGTAGCAGGGTGTGTATATTATTAACAAGACATGATATATGCACTTTTAGAGGTACAATGGTCAGCAAGGCATTTTATTGAATCTCATCGTCGCACTCGTACTCGTACGCCATCTGCATGACAGCAGCTCTGAACCGGGCACTCTTTCTTTCGCCCCAGCGGTCCAGGGACTGTGCCACTGAATAAGCAAAAGCTTCGTTCTGCGTCATTTTGCAGCTAAGGTGCTTTAACAGCTCCTGCTCTATACTGTCTCCGTCTCCCTTACGCTTGGAGGGCATGGGCCTTGGCTCCACCGGGCACCTTGGAGGGTGGCTGGACGACCCTGCGGATGCGCTCGAGGTGTACCCCGTTGAGGTAGAAGGCATGTCGTGGCCAGCGGCACCAGGGCTGCCCTGGTACTCGACTTCATCACCCTGGAGGTTGCTGGGAGAGTCCTCCGGAGAAGAATCTACCATTGACCGCAAAATAGATTCCGCCGTAGTACCCACAGGCGGTGCCTGTACATTGCACGCTACAGTCCTGCAAGTTGGAATAACAGACACAGCATATATTTGATTTATGCCTTCAACAGGGCTTAATGGAACTTTTATTAAATAAAAGTGTGTGAAGTACCTTTGACGGGCACTGGGGCTAAGAAGGAACTGCCAACTATGATTCTGCACTGGGCTTGTAACATCACCGAGTGTAGGGCAGGACAGTATTATGACACAAATGCATTTACAATAGGGCAGTTTCATGAAACATTGTTTCACTTCCGGTTCGTGTTGGCGCCCTCTGCTGCAATGCTGATTTCCGCCATGGTACGCGCCTCTGCCATTTGAAAACTTATTATTGGCATAGTTTGTGGTTCTGGACACCCTAGAGATATGGCGAGTGGCTCCGTTGGCGACGTAACTCAAGAACTACAATCGCGGATGTATTTTGGTGCTGTAAATTCTCACTAATATGTTTGGCGTGGTATACAGTCACCACTGTCAATTAGTGTGCCGGCCTGTCCTAGCTCTGAGTAAAACTTCCATATTTGAAAATTGAGTACCAGTCGATGCTCCTTGATGAGATGCGGGAGGAGCTCACAGGTGAAAAAAGCTATGGCGTGCAAGTAAACAAGGTTCAACACGACACTGGAACAGGAAGCTACCCAGGACACATCTCTATATATGTTGTACGATGTTAGAAAAGAAAATATTCTTGAGCAAACAACAAAAAAAAAAGAAAAAAAGAAGCTCTTCCCGAAGTAAGAAAGAGGCAAGAAAAAGACGAGAAAAGTGGGAAGATAAGGCAAAGAAACACGGGCTTTGTTGCTCATGGGCGTGTCGACCATTCAAGTTTACGGACACAGAAGTTTCAGGGTATGTGTTTCCTGGTACATTCCAGTACCCTGTATTGGACAATATTAAATGTAGATTGTACTGATTTGTTTCATGTTCGGTTAACCGCATAGAACAGACGTGTCCGGGAAAGGTTCAACGTTCTGCAAACTGCACACCGCCACGACCTGGCCCATTTTTTACTATTCATGCCACTGCCAGTCACACTACCTTATATATATATATATTTTTTTTATTTCCATTTCAACGTGTTTAACAAGTGCAACGGGAGATTTTACGTCTAAGTGCCGACAAAAGCTTAATATTTATAAACCAAGTCAACGCCTTAAATTTGGGGAACGCTGTACGTGGTGTGTTGGAAAAAAGATACTAACTGGCATTATTGGGACATTATCTTCCTAGTCGGCCCTTTTGGATGTTGTGTATGCAGTTAGCGTGCTGCTTAATTAGGTCCCTCGTGTCTAAAATTCGCGGTCTGTGCTTCGTCTAAATGAAAAGCCTGCAAAAAAAAAAAAAAAATCACTGACTACAGCAATAGAGCAGTACAAATTGGTTACATACTTCCTGACCCGGATGTGGTCCTTGTAAAAAGCCATTGTTTCGATAAATGCCTACTGTTTTTTGCGGACAAAACCGCTGCCGCTCCTTGTTGCGACTTCCAGGGCTTTGAGTTCCCGGACATATTTGTTTCTCAGGCGCTTCCAGGCTTTTTGCGCCTCCTCACCTGAAAAAAACATGGGAACTTCAGTTTTTCCATGTGCTGACTCAATGCAAAGTTCAAATGCTGAACTAGTCAATAAGTCGGTTCAGCTGCTTCCACAGCTATTCATCTAAATACTGTTGCATGTGCAAACAATGTTTATACAACAGATACCTAATGGTCAAGGCTTTGTTGAAAAGCAGTGAGCACACTCAATGTAGTAGAGAACTGCACGGGTACGGGCCAGCCCGCGGGCCGGGCTCGGCCTAATGGCTACATCCATGAGGGGCCCGGGCCGGGTACGGGCCTTGCATTCAACTGTACAAGGCGGGGCGAAGCCGGCCAAGATTATTATTTTTTTTAGCAGCAATGTTCTTTGCAATTATAATGCAATTAAATGCAAAGGTGCAAGCGAGCTGGACAAGCGTGTTCGGGGGGGAAGGGGTTTGGAAGAGGGATCACAGAGGGGGAAACCCAAATGCTGAAAGCATGTGTATGTGCGTGTATATGTTTTTAGGGTTTGGTGTGTGTGTGCCGCAAATACTCTTCCAGAACGCTAGCGGCGGCGTTCCTTTTCGTCACCGCCGCCGCCACCATCGTACCATCGCTTCCCCCCATCAACACGCACACATACGCGCCTACACAATGCGCACCCTCGCCGTCGTAAACCATCTGTACACCGGGTACGTGCATCCACAATATGGGTGAAGGGATTCCCCCGAGGGGTTCTTTTCCTGAACTATTTCTCGCAAACCACCGCAAAAGACGGGGAGTTTTTTTTTTCCACTTGTACGCATTGGGGGTGGGCAATTTAAAACTTTGTCCATCTTTTGTCCAAACCCGTCGCAACGTTTCCATTCTTTTTCAACCTTGTCACATTGTGTTTTTTACTTGTCATTTTTGTTTTTCCGTCCTTTAAGCGCGGGTTTGGTCGCAGAAAATGACGTCCGACTAAAAATACCCGCAAAAATAATAAAAAAGATGCTTACAGCATTGATTATCGGTTCCGTAATAAACATATACGTAGCAGTGACAAGCGAGCTACCATGCCGCACTTTTTGTGGGCTATTCATACTGAGACAAAATAGAGCGGGCCTCAGCGGGTCCGTGAAAATGAGTGTCTGGCCGGGCCGGGCCGGGTCGGCTGTCGGAAATAGATAGCGGGCCGCGGGCTGGTCCGGACCAGGGTGTAAGATAGACAGGTGGTGAAACGAGAGCCAAATGAGCGACCGGCTTGTGTCCCCCTCGGTTTTCTCTTTTTCTGTGGCGCCATCTATGTGGAGCACCGCGAACTCTCACTCCAGCTGGGCGAACGCTGGCGACCGGTTAAACTGACGGAGAAGGTTTCTCGTGGATTTTCAGTGGAGGACTGTCGTGCTCTCGGTTTATTTTCCGCACTCTCCCATAAAGTTCCATGCAAATTCGATTCCAATTTTTTTCTTCTCGCCGCAGCGCTATCTGTCGCAAATCGGGGGTACCCGCAAGCCTCCCGCAAGCAGACGAGTACACAATCCGGTCACGGCGCTGCGGTAGGTTTCTATGGACCGTTTTCCCACCTGTCTATCTTACACCCTGGTCCGGACCCAAGAGACAGCGGGCCGGGCTGAGCCGGGCTTTTAAATATCGGCCCGTGCAGACCTCTCGTACTCACAACTTCACTCGCGTAAGCGAGGATATAATTCGATTCATTTCGGCGAGTTCTGCAGGCGGAGGAGACATGGA